AACCTTCTCAGAAACACTGTTCCCCATGTACTGCAACACACACACACACACTGCTCTTAACACGTGTTTCGTACTAGACATATAAGTGCACAGGAATGAGCCATAGAAAATCACATTTTGTACATTTCTGGTTCCATCGTCCTGATGTCAAATGTTTTTTGAATGGGTTTTTGATTAAATGCATGAAATAAGCTCTGTTGTGAACATAAGCTCAAGATATTGTCACGTTTTATTCTACAACATAAATATATCAGCAAGGGTGTACCGATAACCTCATGATTCGATAAATATCATGATACTGAACTCACGATGCAATATTATTGCGATACTCCAAAAGGTTCACAAAAAACACACTGTTGATTAAAATGCTAAATTTGGTGTTACATTGCGAGTGTAAATGAATAGTCTTGGACCTGTGCTCGAAACCCAATGCACAGGACAATAGAGACAATAGTCATGATCCTCAAGCTGAAAATACTGAATTGTTTTAGACGAAAATGTTTGCAATCTTTCACTGACTAGATATGTTTAAAATAATGCAACTTTTTACTGGTAACATCAGACATTTGCCGTTATCAGGACCCAGAAATATTCCCATTGCATTATTGTACATTGTATTCAACATTATACAGTAGTTTAATGTAGTACTGACACTAAAACTCTGAAAACGTTCATTTTGGCTGAATTATACACAATACACGTTTGTATTTCGATATATTGTGACATCACTACATCAGTAACTCCCCTGAAAAAATGGGAATATAGAGGTTGTCTGTAACATTAAACATCATCACCGAACAGGTAAACTAGATAAAATCTACTCACTAGTCGCTTTCAACGCCTCATTGTGTTTATAATCACGCTCTTGCAAACTATCATAGCTAAAAACTTTCATGGAAAATGTTGTTGAGAGTTTAATGATGGTGACGTGGTGTAGTTCGTGTATAGCCTACTCTTAGTGTCCGACTTCTGCTGATTGGTTTTAGGCTTCAAAATTCATACATTTGTGAAGATTATCATGATGAACAAAACGTGTAAGAATCATAAACGTTTGTTGGTCTCAGAGCTTATTTTCAGCAATAATCCAATTGGGATTTTGTCAAGGGAACAAGGCTGCTAACATCTGGGTCAACACAAATAACTCATAATAGAAAAACCACCAACCCTGGGTGAAACCACTTTAATCAGCTCATTTAAAAACCTATATCTGGCTATTTCGTTGTGAAATCTTCGCCCACAGTTCTTCATACACGCCTCCAGTACCTGCAGAGACACACACACACATCATATTATCCATGATCAGACTCATGCCCGAGCAGTGATGGTGGATTAGCGTTACATCACTCACAGTCAGAGCTTGAAGGGCTTCCCATTCTTGAGAGTAGATTTTGTGAACGAGGAGTCTCACAGCTATCTGAGGACTATAAACACACACACACACACACACTATCAGAAAGAGCAGAGAATCTGTAGTTTTCAGTCGAGTTGGATTACTAAGGCTTACCCTTCCAACTCCTTATTGATCTGGTCACAAAACCCGATAATATATTCCCAGTCCTCCTGCCGGTTGGTGGGGTGTGTGGCTTTGTCTGTGGAGAACACACATATTCGTAAGGTCCAAACAATCGGCCTCGTTGAGCTCTGTGTCTGTGATACACTGGCACAACAGTGTGAGGGACAATCGCAGCGATGCATATCAATATTACCATCAGTAATGGAAAGAAAAGTGCTATATATGTATATTATCAGCATATTTATGCACCATTGTATTTACATGATATGTTCATTATGCATGAGCAAAAAAAAAAAATGGTATTATTATGGTAGTGTACTATTAAATAGCTAATTAATAACCCCAGCTGTAAATTGTATTAGATAAATGGATAATTAATAATGAATTCTGCTGTAAATCCTAATGGACTGGGTCTGAACTCATCTTATATGAAGCCAAACACAGACTTTGTACTTTAATCTGAACGCACGATCGCCAGATATGACAGTCAACACGCACTCCATATGAATGTATAAATCATACTACAGGAAAGGCTTGGCTCATGAATATTAATTAAGAGGCGTGACGTTCGTACAGTGTCCGTATCTGATTGGCTGGAAGGCGGGCGCTAGTAAGTGGGCGCTGGCGAATTAACGAATCCTACTATGGTGAAAGTCTTCGCTCTTACATATTATAGGCTTTGTGATTGGACGCCCTGGGAAGGTTACCAGGCAACGTCAGTATGATAAAATTAATTTTCATGAGCAGACCCTCGTCATAGTATGATTCGAAATTTCGCGGAAAAAAGGCAAACAAGCGCGTCAGACGAGCCGGTACCGATGCATTGCAGCGAACACACACAATAATAATATTATTTCCATCTATTGTGGGATGTAAATGATAATAGTAAACGTACTGAGCCAGGATTCGAGTGATTCTCCCTCCGGAAACGCCATGATCCTCATTTAAAGCTCTGACTGCATAAATCCACACATTTCCCCGTTAGATGCCACAGACATTCGTCAGATTAAACTGATTGTGATAAAAACTAACATCCTCTGTTCCATCCAAGCCTGTGGGCCGCGACAAAATACTGCTTTATTTATTTATTAAATGAAGTGTATCTGCCGGCAGTATCATCAGCTGCCTGTGTGGAGGTCCTTGATTTAGACGGCTCCAAAGATTACAAAATAAAAGTCTCTAGCAGTACGAGTCTTGTAGAAATACAAAATAAAAGTACATCTAAAGCTTTTTTGTTTTTTGTTTTTTAAATAGCGAATGGGTTGCTTTGAGCGATTTTTTTTTAGAACAGAATAGAATAGAATAGAATCAGATGTAATAACAGTGTCAACACTGAAGTCAGAGGTCCCTAATCATCATGGGTCACAAACCTCGGAGTTGGGATGCCTTCACTCTTCGCAGAGTTGTTTAGTGTTTATCAGTAGGGATCATTGTGGGGACAGAACATCCTGATACCGATATGGGAGATAAATGGACTACTCCATAGTCAAACCAGTACACATACTATCTTCACTATACTGCAAATGAGGAACCATTATTCTAATTTGTATTAAATTATTTTATATAGGTAATGAGTTTTCTAAGTTTTAATAATAATTTTAAGTTTGAAATAAGTTTAAAACTGTGTTGAGTGTTTCTGGACAAAGGAATGCAAATTTAAGAGAATTTTACCCATACGGAAATGTAATATATGACATATATGTCCCTATCGCAAATGACGCTGTCACATATGCTAAATATATGACAATATATTGCTATCACATATATACCTATCTCTAGATATGATGTAGGTTTATAACATATATAAATTGTCCATATTAAATGAGTATATTGACATATATTAATACAATGCATATGATTATTCTTTATATATATTGTATGTTATAACCATATATTCAACTGACATGTTTAATTTATAAATGCCAATATATTTAAACAACATACATTTTACATGCTTATGGTTTCCTTATTAATTTATTCCTTTTCCTTATTTGAACATCTTGAACTTTTAAACAAAAAAAGTCTACACAATCCACATTTCTTTTCAATTTCTGTCCCATTTTAGAATTAGCAAAAAATGTTTTACCTTATCTTAAATGGCTCATAAAAATACAACAAATACTATACAAATTATATTTGCAAACTTAACTTTTTTCATATCATCAATAACCATTATATCAATATAATCAATTTCTATATGTAAGAAAATATATACATTAATACATGCACTACATGTATACAGAATAATACACAGTTAATATGTCTCTAACAAAGCATGACAGAGCTGCAAAAACTGATGTCACTGATGAAAAACATTAAAACGCTCCTTCATAATAATTTAGAAAAGTCAATATAAATATATTATTAAGTAAATACAAGTAAATATTTCAAATAAAAAGTTGCGTTCATGCGGTCCCTGTATAAGCAAACAAAGTCATGTCATCATAAATTATAGGAAACCTGTAGGAAACACGGCAATTACAGCTTGAAGAGTCCATTTTCTCTGAACTAATGTTTTGGTAGGAACAAAAATTTACATTGTATGTTTCTCCGGAATCAGCCAGCGCGACGGACGTCTAGATTCCGATTGGTTGCTGGCGTTTTGCCCTGTCTATGGTTTTGCCGCCGCTTGTCGCTGAACCGCGTCACAGCTCAATACCATAAGTTTATAGCTTCCTTCAACTTTCTAATTGACGCTCAAAACGCGACGCTGATGGAGTTGACGCTTCTTGCAGCTGAGAAAAACCAGCTTCCATTGAAAACGAATGACTTCCGGCCGCTTTGGTAGAACGTACAGTTACGTCATCGCCTTGGCGCGCCAAAATTCAAACGCAATGAAGACCAACAGATGAAGAATGTTCGCCCTTGTGGAGTGGAAAGAAGAAGCTAATAATTAAAGTTGGAGCACTGTTCCAACATCACACATAAAAAAAACTTCAATATGAATGATTTCTTAAACGGACTTGATGAGATGTAGGCTATATTTAACGTTAATTGAGTGGAGAGGTGGACTGAAGGAAAAACCTTTCGAATCAACTTTGTTGCAGCCTTGTTGCAGCCTTGTTGCAGCCTTGTTGCAGGTAAGTTAATTTCGGAACTTTTATTATAATTCAAACATTGATATTGCACATTAATTAAAATAATCGCTGAATTGCATGAGCCATTTAAAAGCTACTGATTATATCGAAGCTAGTACAGATCGGATAATTGAGCAGATATTCAGTGTTTAACTAAGTTTTTTTATTTTTTTTATTTAATGTATTTTTTACGCTAATATTACGTTAACTGCTTTGCGTTGCATTTTCATGTTCTCATTTTCGTGGTCATGTTTACAAGCTAGTTGTACATCTTAATTACTAATACTTACCCAACATTAGTTGTAAGGCACAATTGTTTTTGTAAAGCTGCTTTGAAATAATTCTGAAAAGAAATACACACATCCAGACTTGACATGACTAGATGCAGAAGGAATGCAGGAGCCAGGAAAGGAAGTGATAAGAAATATGTTTATTGGATAACTCTTAGTTTTAACAGAAATATATAAAATAAGTACTGTATTATGATCACAAGCAAAGGGAATGGACATAGCTACTTTTTAGCAGTGACTTGTGGCCTTGAAGACCTTGAATTAGGACAGATGGTTACAGCAAATCAAGATTTGTCAATAATCAAATGTGAAAATCAGTAGAAAAATATGTCAGTGACATTTTACTTTAACCCTAAAACACAACAAAATGCAAAGGATACATTTAAAATACATCTAAAAACAATATGGAAAACCTCTCATCATTGGGCCTTTTTTTTATAAAAACTTTGATTAGAGTGTAAATTGAAGTAAAATAAAAGTAAATCAAATAGAATGAATATATGATAAATGAGTACATCTATATGAATATATGACTGTATGGATAAAATGCAGTAAGATGAATGTAAAATGTATGTAAAGAAAAAGAAATAAACACAATATAATATAAAAGTACAACAGAGGTACACGTGTTCTGGAAGTCAGTGCATTGCTGGCATTGGTCAGACTCTCAGTCATCACTCATAACATAATCACAACATTGCTTTTTACAGAATACACATTAAACACAATTAGGCATTTCTGCTAAACAAAGGCACAAAACATGCAACATTAATGATTAAAAGACTGGCTTAGATTAATCACTGCATATGAAAATAAAACAAACCTAAATAATTTCTAGGAACAACTACAGGCTTTGGTCCAAGAGCTCCTTCGACTTGATTGTCCTAATTTTTTGAACTAGAAATCTAGAAGTTTTCTCTCTTTCATGATATGCATGTCTTCAATAAATCAGGCTTGTGAACCTTATGCCTCAAAGTCTATGTCAAGTGCAACTGGTCCATTCATTGAGAATCCAATGAAGAAAGTCACTCGTGTGCCATATTCTTTATTTAACTGGCTTCTGAACATTGGATCAACCATAACATTCACGTCTGCAACCCAGATACAATTGTTACGAATTTCACCAGAAACTCTGTGAAGTTTATTACTATTCCTCACTTTCTTCCAAATTTTGTCATCATCCCACTGAGTTGAGATGTTCTGCCCTGATCCTAAACAGCTGTTAATATCCCTGTGGGAAATCAGGCCACCATAACCTTCGTCCTTCCCGAGGTAAAAGTGGACGGCTGCTCTCTTTCCATTGGACACAGGTTTCAGGTAGGTTGAGTACAACGTCTTCATTTGTGAAGTTGGTAATGCACGATTGGCCTCTTGCCAGAACAATAAAACTGTGATGTAGTGCAAAGGCAGAATCTCACTGAGTTCTAAGGGGCGAATGATTATTCGAAGGCGTAATTTTCGAAGTTCATGGTGGGACATGATGTACTGAGATTCAGAGTTGATGTTTGCCAGAATTACATTGGCATAGATAAAGTTGACAATGTCCATCAGTCTGGCCTCTTGTGAATTCAGAATTAAATCATACTGCTGGATGATCTCTTCAAGAGTTGATGCAGAGTCTTCCTCATACAAATATTGTAGAAGTCCTGTATAGGAGTCACCTTTGTTCCTCTCCAGACATTCACGTGTCTGCTCAATTTTAACCTTGAGGTTAATTTGCTCATTCTTGATCAGCTCACTCCAATTTATTTTACAAAAGAGCTCAGTGTACTGTTGAAAGTACTTGGAAACCTTGGGCTTTGTCAGTTCTTTTTGTTTGTCTTTCTCCGCTAAAAATGGTACTAAATTGACAAAGAAATTGTCTAGGAAATCAAAATGATCCTTCATTGTGTTTTTTAGCTGAAGAAGATATTTCTTATGCTTCTGCAATACATCACAATATTGCTTGAGTTCAGGGTTCATCCTTAACAATTCTTCAATGGTAATTTTACCCAAGAGGACTTGAGCAAGGCAGTTAAGCAGTGGTGTCTTTTGCAGTATTTGTATGACAGTAACTGCAGTTTGAAGTTCTCCAAGATGGCCAGCAGTGTTGTAAGTACTATAATCCTTTAGTCTTTTCCGTCGAGATACGGCCTCCTTGTCTGCAGTTTGTTTTGTTTCTTTGCAAGCTTCAGCTGCAGACTCAGCCAATGTAAGATACCGATCAAGACTGTCCGGCTTCAAGAGATCATCTCTGTCTTTGTGAACAGCATGCTTGAGTTCACGCACAAGTACCTGTGATACTGTATCACAAATGTAGGAGTTATCCACTGAAAGGTCTTTGGCCTTTTTTGCACAACTCATGGCCACAGTAAAATCCTGTTTTTTGATGTAATAGTACCTGGCGAGGAGTTGAAATATTACTGCATCCTTTCTGAGACAATTTGCTGCATTGATTAGAACAATTTCTTCCATCCCTGGCGTCTCCTTCATTATATCTTGGATAAGAGGAGAAAAAAGTGAGTCTTCAGCCTTAGCTGAATAGTGCCTTCTCACCAACATGCTGTGGACATCCTGCATTAATTTTTGATTCCCCAGAGCGTACTCATAAAATGAGTCTGTTGTGAGCAGAAGGTTAGAGATTTCTGCCTTTGACACTTTCATCGACAGCTCTTTCAAACAGTATTCAGCTATACTTGAGTGAATCACTCTCACACCCTCAAAGGTAATGTTGGAATAGGCTGTGCCTCTTGTTAAAAGAGTGGAAAACTTCTCAAATCCATCTTCTACTTCAAACTTTGCTTTAGTTTGCAGACCAAGAAACTCTTCACATGTGGAGACTGACAGCAATGCATTCTTGCAGTAGACATGCAGGAGGACAAGAACAGCAAAAAGTTGAGAATGTTTGTCTCGGAAGTCGAAGCCCTTCAGGGTATTTTTCACAACACGCTGAATATAGTGAGGTGAAAAGTTGTTCTTCAGAATCATGAACCCATAGAACGTTTTAGTGTTTGTGTTGGTTTTCTTAAACTCCTTCAGCTTTTCTTTAAACAGTTCCTGTTCCTTCTCAGATAAACGGTTTCCAATGAAAACTGCATCATCAGTCTGTTCACAGGATTCAGCTCTCATGCAGTTGACTATGATGACTTGTGGAGACTTGGAAAAAATGTTTTTGTTCAAGCACTCCTCCTCAATTTGAAGTTGGAGTTTTTTTACATCGCAGATGTCTTGGAAGTCATCGATCATGATTAAAACGGGAAGTCGTGTAGGTTGCTCTTTTGTCTCATATGTTAGAAGCTGCACAACCTGTTCGGCTGCGGTAGAATAATCATGTGTTGTTTCCTTCAGCACTGCACAACGGTATTTATCCTTCAGTGTCCATAAGACATGCATGGCTAACGTAGTGCCACCGCAGCCTGGAAGATGGAAGATGCTGAAAAACTCACAAGCTCTCTTCCGGCTGCATATGTCTGGAATAATAGTGTTGATAATATAGTCGAACTTGTCACGTTTGATGAATGGCATTGATCCGGGCTGTTCTGAGAAGAAGAAGTTCCACCAAGACACCTTTCCTCCCTTGTAAAAGTTCTCCTCATGATGTTGTTTGTCCTCATCACCTCCTTCACACTGGTTCACACAAAGAACACTCAGCGTTTCTAGGGAATCCTCAATTTTCTTTGATAGGACAACATTACTGCCACCACCACAAGGCAGAAACCGGCTTGATTTGCGATTCTCTGACCACAGACTGAGGATGGTGCCATTGACCTCAGCAAAACTTAGCTCAGAAATGCATCTTGAAGAGATGTCAGCTCTATATCGGCCCTTAATGAGATCCGTCCAGTAGGTGTATGATGTTTCATTGTCACTGATGCATAAGATTTTGTTTACTCCATTGAGCTCCTGTAAAAACATACCGAATGTCTCAAGAAAAGAGTCGTTGGCGTCGCTCACTTGACTTAACAGCAGGAATATGGTGAGAAGTTGCTTGCGATGCACAACATCTTTTCTGCACAGGAAAGAAACAACATCACGCACTGAAGATCCCTTCTCAGTCAACCAATTATCAGTATCAGAAGGGTTTTCCTCATTAATGCCTCCATTACAGAAAACCCAGCTTGTGTTTTTGGTCAGCTTTAACTTGTTTAAAATGTCTTCAACTGCACCTGTAACTTTATACTGAGTTGGTAAATGAGGATTGGATGTCTTTCTCTCTTCAAGTAACTTATTCAGGCCACTCTGAGCAGATTCTGGATCGAAATCCAGAACAGCCACTAGATCCATGTAAAAAAGGAAATCCAGGTTTTCCAGCTGAACAGGGTGAGATTTGTTAGCCACCAAAATGTACCATGCAAAGTGTGACCTGTCTAAAGAATGGGTCCCTCCTGTTATCATCTCACACAGTTTAGAGCCTTGCACACTTTTTTTGACAACATAGAGATGCTTCTCTTCAGCGTCCTTCCTCAACTGGGACAATCGTTGCATGTTGTCAATTGCAGTATATTTCTCATACTCCTTTGAGGAAGCAGATGTAATAAGATTCTTGCTGCTGCTGCCGTCTCTTATGAAGAAAGACTTGCCATCATTCTGCTTCCTCTCTGCACCTTTGGGCTCTTGCATCTCTTCTTCATTTTTATCAACATTATAAGTGTTAAAGAAAAGTTCTTCACAGACTATGGAGGACGGTTCTATGTCTACCTCAATAACATATTTTCCTGCAGATGTCATGTCAGCTTTGAGAACTTCAACAAATCGAGGGGGTTTAATGCAGCTCTTTGCTATTTTAACAGACCTTTCCAATTTGAAATGTTTTTCAATTGCATGTTTCTGTTGTACATCAAATTCATCTGTGTTCTGAACATTAATACCCAGAATGTGTCCATGTGGTTCGTCTGCCACTCCAAAATGAATAGTACCATTTGTACGGCTGTTCATACAAGCTGCTGCAAATCGAATCACCTCATAAGTGTATTTTTTTATTCTGTTCTCCTCTGTTGTGTTGGTAAATGCTTTGAATTCATGGCATGGTTGTATGAAATCTATAGGACCCGTTTCAGTTACGTCTAGATTGCTGTTTTCTCTGTACCTGTGAGCAGCAGTAAATCTTTTGAAAGGGTAAGGCTTCAAGCTATAAGATTGAGTCTTCACATCATTCTGCTGCTGCGTCTTTTGTTTCAAAAGACATATGTTGTGAATAATTATTTTTTTGGCATTCAGTGATAGGCTTTGCATGCTAGAGAGATCAGCTTCCTCCAAGAGGAGAAGACCAGCTCCATTAATTCTCTGGTTGTACAAAATCTCTGCATCTTCTTTGTCCACTTTTATATCAAGCATCCATTGTCTCACATGGTCTTTATTCCAGTCATTGATGTCCACTGGAAGTCCAGATGAAACAGCCATCTCCTTATTATTATGAAAGAAAATCAGAAGAAAAAGTTTTATGGAAAATTTAGCAAACAGGCATATTGTAAAACAACCATTTCCCCAAACCGACTTTTCTCACACATGGTATAACTACTTCCCAAATTGTTTTAACGGTTTTCTGTACACACACTTCAATACAGTAGAACCATAAATAATGTTGTATGTGCTGCAGATACACTATATTAAACATTAATTTGAAAATTACAATAAAGTTTTTCCCTGAGCAGTAATGTAGAATTTGTACCTTATATGATATTCAGTGTTTTCCAACTCTTCAGTTCAATCAAACATTTGATTCCAGTTCATTTTGCAATGATATGTTGCATGTTGTTGTTTGTACTGCACTTTCTCAGAAGAGAGACTGAAAAGAATCATTAAAATTTTTTATTGTATGATTTTTCAATATCATAATATCTTTATGATGATAAATTCAGTGATTAATTAATTCCATTCATCAATATGGCAGCATCTGTACTCAGTTCTTCATCATTCAATTCCTTATAATATGATTTTACCAAGTGCTGTGCAACATGACATCATGACTTTTGCATAAACATACACGCCACTTTCAAGTGAAGTGGCGTGTTATCTATACGCATTTTGAGCTATCCGCGTGTATGCGTGCATGTCTACGCCGTTAAATGTCCGAGTGATTCCGCGTGTATGTACTAGAGGTCTTCACAGTGCACCCGAGACCCGTTGACCCGGGACCCGTACGGGTTCGGGTCTATATTTTAAATGATCAGCCGGGTCCGGGTCGGGTCCGAATCTATTACTTCGGGTCCCGGGTCTGTTTAACATAGTGCCTGTGCGATCGGAGTGCAATCTCAAGCGCGTGTCATGTTTCTATGGCAACCAGAGCTTCCGCCAAACCGCGCTTTACATTTTATCCAATGTTTATAATAATATAAATGAACTGTCTTGTTTAATCTTAAAGTTTTGGTGGTCAGATTCAGACTCAATGAAGAGCAGAGAGCACAGATATGATCAAGCTGAACAAGCAACAAGCAATCGTTATTATAGTTCAAAAGGGCAAACAGTTAAGGTTATTATGCGAGTTAACTCGAGTCAGAATGTACAAGCACAACCTGTGCTAGGTTGCATTTGTCATCCATCACCGTGACATCAAGTGGACTTTTAAAGCTGAAATAATGAGTGTATTAAGCTTGGAATAACGAGAGAAATAACATGGATAGAACTCTCTTGTCTGTGGATTGTAATGCATCACAGTCAGTCAGGTAACGTTACAAGGAAGTGAGACGACGGCTACTAAAATTAGGTAAGACAAAAAGTTTTATTTTTCGCAACTCGTGTGAAATAATATGGAACAATTGGGTCCAGTCGGGTTTGTGTCTTCCTGCCGGGTTCGGGTCCAGTTTTCAAATAAGGGACGGGTCCAGGTCGGGTCCGGGCAGTACATTTATGGCATTTCTCGGGTCTGCACGGGTCCGGGTCCAACTTTTGAAATGAACGACGGGTCCGGGTCGGTTCGGTGTAGCACATTACGGGTCTCTTCCAGTTCGGGCATGAATTTTTGGACCCGTGAAGACCTCTAGTATGTACACACCGTTAAATGTCTGAGCGAAACGAAGCAAAAATGTATATCTACATCTGGGGAGCGATATTTTTTTTCCTAGGATGGAAGGGGAAGACTCATAAATGCTATTAACCCCAGTGACGGGTAGGTTTAGGGACGGGGTCGGGGTAGGTCATATATTTATACAGTAATGTAACGTTAAGTCAACGGCGTTCATAAACACGCTGAAAAGCGATTATGCGTGTTGATAGCACGCCAAACATTAAAATACGAATTGGCGTATCATACATACGCCATTTCATGAGATCAGTCTGTGCTGTCACGACAAGACACAACAAAGTTTTTGCTCTATTTTGCCAATGTTTCTGTGTTTTTGAATGATTTGGGGGAGTTAATGAAGCCTAAGTTACTAATGTAACACCTTCGAGTGTAAACAAAACAAGCCAATGGACATTGGCGAGAGAGATTTGCATCGTGAATCACACCTTGCAACGCAGGTATATAAGAAAACGTGCTGCACTTGCTCATTTAAGTTTTGAGAGGAAACTTGTGGTGTTACACATATGGTCTGACCATAAGGGTAGTGCTACATATGGAATACAGCCAGCCTAGCCTAGGGTGAAGTCAATACCAAGCAGAGATGGCAGAGCGGGTTTTGCCAAAGGGAAAGACATGGGCTCACTGACAGGGAAGCCATACCATGCACGTGGGATCACCCGTAGGGAGATCACAACACATGGACACTTAGTCTAGTACAGGGGCTGACCTTCTAGGCATAGACACGAGTGCTAGACCTGCCGCGTCTCACCTGTGGAGCAGATATGCGCTAGTATTCCATCCTTGGAGGGAAGTAGTGCAACAAGCCAGTACACGGGAGGAAACCGGCTCTACACAAAGATTGTAAAACCTTGCAAAACCTTTTTGGTGTCACCCAGACCGCAATTCTGCAAATGTCTGTCAGCAAGGTGCCGTGCACCAACTCCCAGGAAGACGCAATGCTCCGAGTGGAGTGAGCCCTCACGCCCAGGGGGCACGGCTGGTCTTGAGCCTGATAGACCAAGACTATTGCATCCACTAACCAGTGGGCCAACCTCTGATAATCTGAGGTCTTTGAAACTCTGTGTTTGGTCCACATACAAGCACAAAGCGCGAACAGGACTGCCTCCTCTGGGGGCAGTGCTTGCAGGTTCACCCCCTGATACCTGAAAGGGGTGGTGGGAACTTTGGACACATATTCAGGGCAGGGTTTCAGGATTACGTCAGAGTTGGCCGGCCCAAATTCCAGGCACAATTCGTAGACTAAAAAAATGCCTGCAGGTCCCCTAGACTCTCATTAGGGGCCGTTCACATATCGCGCCTAAAAACGCGTAGAAAACGCTAGGCGCACGCGTTCTCCTTTTTCCAAAGAAGCGCTAGGGCGGTTGCACTCCGGAGGCGTCTGTCGTTGCTAAGCAACCATCAGCCGCGCTCTCCATTACATGAAGGAAATTTCAGCAATGGATTTCCACCACCGAAAAACCTTTGCTGTAACTCTGTTACAAGATTTATTTACTCAGAAAAGTAAAAAAACGCCGCAGTGTTTGGGTGCACCCCATACTACAAAAACGCAAGAACCATGGGGAATTTCACCAGCTGATTCAGGAACTCCGCCTGGACAATGGGAGGTTCAAAGCCTATTTCAGAGTGGACAAGGACCAGTTTGATTGTATTTTAAGAAGAGGTAACAAAAATGGCGAGGAAGCTGATTGGTTGACGTGACACGTGACCTACGGTGCGCTTGCGGCATTCTGAAAAGTTGAGATGTTTTTATCTCGATGCGGCGCGGACGCGCCTGGAAAAAACAAGCGCGTCGCACCGCGACCGCGTCGCTTCCATTATGAGCGCGCATACCGCGCGCCTACATTTGAAATAACGAACTTGAGTGCGCAAAAGACGCGATTAGGGCCGGTTCACATATCGCGTCTTTTGCGCGCCCAAGTTCGTTATTTCAAATGTAGGTGCGCGGTATGCGCGCTCATAATGGAAGCGGTGCGGTCGCGGTGCGACGCGTTCGTTTTTTCCATGCGCGTCCACGCCGCGTCGAGATAAAAACATCTCAACTTTTCAGAATACCGCAAGCGCACCATACGCACACAATAGGTCATGTGACAAGAACCAACTGAAGCACAACCGCCCTGGCGCTTTGGAAAATGGAGAATGCGGCGCGCCCAGCGTTTTCTACGCGTTTTTAGGCGCTATATGTGAATCCGGCCTTAGAAGAGAGCGCAGTCAGGAGCTCTGTATTGAGAAACAGGATCTTAAAGTCACTCTGTAGTCTATAATTTTATCCCTTAAAACTAATTTTTGATCACCACTCACACCGGTATGATTGGTTACAAAGTAGTTTGTGATGTCAGAAACACCAGCGACTTTAAACCACGTTTTTGAGACTGTCTTTGGTTCACTGCAGTTTTAAGAAGAAAATACTTAGCCATTGTATTGATTTGAATTTACTATGAATTTGCATAATGGTTTGTCTTACAGCATATTAAAAACACCACATAGATATATAAACAACATTAAAAGCTTAATTTTCACCACAGGGGGACTTTACTAGGGGGAAAGCTCTATCGACTGCATCGTCTTGAAGGGCGCTCCCTGCAAGGCTGTCAAGACCAAGGAGAGGTCCCACTTCAGCGTTTTAAGCCCGCCTTGTGGAATATTAGTGTCTACCACTGCTGGGTTAGGTCACTTATGTTCTCCGCGGCCTGTCCAGAGACCACACATTAAGGTTCCAGAGGTCTGGACGTGGGTGTCAGGCACTGAGAAAGCAGGTCCCTGCTCAGAGGAATCCACCAAGGAGGGGCTGTCATAAGGGAGTTCTGGGAACCAGGTGTGGTTCGGCCAGTATAGCGCAACTAATAAGACCTGCTCCTCATCCTTCCTGACCTTGCACAGTGTGAGTAGGCTCAATGGGGGAAACGCATAATTGCGTAGGCTCCAAGGCCAGCTGTGTGCCAGCGCATCTGTGTCGAGGGTCCCCTCGGTCAATCACAAAAATAACTGGAAGTAGGACGTGTCCGGAGAGGCAAACAGGTCTACCTTAGCTGGACCATCTGGGGATGGAGTCTCAATTCTCCCTTGGAACTTGGACTGTCTTGAGAGCTTGTCGTCTGCACGATTAAGTTCTACCAGAATGTGAATGGCACGAAGCGACCTGAGGTGCTTCTGACTCCAAAAGAGGAGATGGCAGGCTAGTTGCAACATGCTACAGGGGGCGTAGACAATCCTGATGGTTGAAATACGCAACAGCCGCAGTATTGTCCATCAGGACCAACACATTATGAAGTTTTATTAACTAAGTTCGGGAGGAGCACGTTCAGATAATTAACACGAGTGGACAGCAATCAGCAACCAATGAGAAGAGGGTATATATAGACTCAGCAGTCTTACCTCGATCCAGCATCCCTCCTCCACCCCTTCTCCACACACTACTAGTTCTCCACACTCCTCTTTCTAAAAAATCACTTGCATACGGGGGGAGTACTCTGGGTTCGGGCAGAAATCCGAGCTCGGAGCCCTCCCTCCGGACAGCACGGCAAATATGCATTGAATCTCACTCAAAATTATATGTAAGTGTGAACTCGTGAACTTGCACTGTAGCAGCTATCTGAAGTGGCGCAGAGCAAGCCATACTACCAGCAACTCGAGGCAATTGATATATCAATTTAGAAAAGCATACCTATAGAAAAGCAAGGTCTGACCACAGGCCGGTGTGTGCTGTGTTGCCATGCCCATCTCAGGACTCGAAAGTGAAGCCAGTGCTGAAGTGCTCTCATATGTAGCAACCTGAGTGGTGTGACTGCTGCTGCAGATGCCATATGCCCCACAAGCCTCTGAAATAGTTTCAGTGGAACCACCGTTCTGCCATTTATCACGTTCAGGCAGTTCAGCAATGACTGAGTATGCTCATTTGTGAGGCATGCTCTCATGTTGCCCAAGTCCAACTCAGTTGACCCAAAGCCCCAATTGGCTGAGTTACATGAGGACCAAGTCCCTGTGTTTGCACAACTGGTCTTGTGAATGGGTCAGGATGAGCCAGTCCTAGAGGTCGTTGAGAATGCAAACCCCCCCTCAGAGAGGCAAGGGCCGCCACCTCCACAACCTTTGAGAAGACGTGAGACACTAGAGACAGCACAAAGGGGAGGACCTCGTACTTATGTGCCCAACCCTTGAACACAAAGAGTAGGAATGGAGACATGAAAGCCACCACCTCCACAACCTTTGTGAAGACGTGAGACACTAGAGACAGCACAAAGAGGAGGACCTTGTACTTATGTGCCCAACCCTTGAACACAAAGAGTAGGAATGGAGACATGAAAGCACACATCCTTCAGGTTTATTGCTGGAAAACAATCTCGGGGACTAATGCCTTTAAAGATGTGTCTCTGCATTAACATCTTGAATGGGAGCTTGTGAACTGATTCAAGGGACACAGATCCAAGATTGGCCATACCTCCACCTCCACAAGGGCCGCCACCTCCACAACCTTTGTGAAGACGTGAGACACTAGAGACAGCACAAAGGGGAGGACCTCGTACTTATGTGCCCAACCCTTGAACACAAAGAGTAGGAATGGAGACATGAAGGCCGCCACCTCCACAACCTTTGTGAAGACGTGAGACACTAGAGACGGCACAAAGGGGAGGACCTCGTACTTATGTGCCCAACCCTTGAACACAAAGAGTAGGAATGGAGACATGACAGCACACATCCTTCAGGTTTATTGCTGGAAAACAAGCTTGGGGACTAATGCCTTTGAAGATGTGTCTCTGCATTAACATCTTGAATGGGAGCTTGTGAACTGATTCAAGGGACACCGATCCAAGATTGGCCATAACCCACCACCTTTATTGGGTAAAATGATGTATGGGTTGTAATACCCTGTCTTTATATCGGCTGGAGGGACCGTCTCTATCACGTCCTTTGTCAGTAGGACTGCGATCTCTGCATGCAGAACAGAAGCATCCATGTCCGCCACTAAAGTGAATCAGATCCTGCTGAACTTTGGGGGACACCGGGAGAACTGAATCGCATAGCCGAGTCTAATAGTCTGAATGAGTCAGTGAGACGGGGTGGGAAGCAGTAGCCAGGCTTCCAGATGGCTCGCATCCTCAAACTGCACACCACTGCCTGCTGGTGATAGGACAGAGGGATGAGAGTAGCAAGGTGCAGCATCGCACACTGCCATCTTTTATTGAATTTGGGTACCACTGGCTGTGACACAAGTGGCGGAACAGAAATTTGACTGATAAAGGGGAAGGGGTAGGAATGGTGTATTCACCATCTCCAGAAGAGGTGTCTCCTCCATCTCTGGGTCACCCATCTCAGGTATATTGCTTTGGCTGATGCTTGGAGGCCTGGCAGGTGCTGGGATGGGGTTGGGCCGAAAGCCGCTCAGCGGCGGGATCCCCACTGTGATCCTCAATTCATTCTGTGCATTTACCACAGTAGCCCTCTGCTGGGCAGAGGAACTAGATCAGGGAATAGCAGAGTCTCGAGCACAGCATCGACATGCACCCACTGCGGGAAGATGACTCATCCATGAGCGCCACCTCATCGTGCTTTCAGCCCAGACACGTAAGGCAGCGATCATGACTATCAGACAAAGACAGGAAACGACCGCATTCAGAAACACACGGGTGGAATGACATCTTTAAAAAATGCATATTCTTTTAGAGTAAAGCTCTTTTAGTGCTGAAGCATATAAGGAAATGGTCGCTGCACAGCGTGCAATACTGTTGAAAGCAGCGGTGTGCAAAATACTCTTTTAGACGGCCATGAATCCAGAGGAAATGCTCTTAAGTGGTGACCACCGTTGACGTGCTGTCACACCATGACTCTCTGGAGACCTTCTTCTGGGTTTGTAGAAAACTCGTACAGATGATTGCAGAGCAGATTCGATGAAACGCTCAGTTCCAAAGCGAAAGGTTAAAGGGTTAGTTCACCCAAAAATGAAAATTAAGTCATTAATTACTCACCCCCATGCTGTACCAACCCCGTAAGACCTTCGTTCATCTTCGGAACACAAATAAAGATATTTTTGATTGAATCTGAGGGCTGGATCACTTTTCCATAGACAGCCTGAGGGACTGCCTCTTGACGGCCCAGAAAGTCATTAAAAGAAAAGGTTTAAATATTCCATGTGCCTACAGTGGCTCAACTATAACTTTATCAAGCGACGAGACTACTTTTTGTGCGAAAAAAAAACGTAAATAACGACTTTATTCGACTTTCCATTACTTCCTTATGGGCGCATGCGCGAGAACTGAGACGAGACCGTTCTTCTTCGACTACTTTTTGTTACCGGCTGCTCACCGCTTAGGAGTTTTACCGCCCCCTACCGTATAAGATGACGTACTGCTTGTAAACAGAACGTTTTGCGCCTCCGGCTATATCAGTACGTCATCTTATATGGTAGGGGGCGGTAATACTCCTAAGCGGTGAGCAGCCGGTAACAAAAAGTAGTCGAAGAAGAACGGTCTCGTCTCAGTTCTCGCGCATGCGCCCATAAGGAAGTAATGGAAAGTCGAATAAAGTCGTTATTTACGTGTTTTTTTTTCGCACAAAAAGTAGTCTCGTCGCTTGATAAAGTTATTGTTGAGCCACTGTAGGCACATGGAATATTTAAACCTTTTCTTTTAATGACTTTCTGGGCCGTCAAGAGGCAGTCCCTCAGGCTGTCTATGGAAAAGTGATCCAGCCCTCAGATTCAATCAAAAATATCTTTATTTGTGTTCCGAAGATGAACGAAGGTCTTACGGGGTTGGTACAGCATGGGGGTGAGTAATTAATGACTTAATTTTCATTTTTGGGTGAACTAACCCTTTAAATGAGCAAGTGCAGCACTCTTCCTTACATACCCGCTTTGCCAATGTTCATTGGCTTGTTTTGTTTACACTTAAATGTGTATGAGCTATCAGACGAGATCCCAATTCGTCAGTTCACTTCTGACTTAACGTCAAACATGACTAACTGATAGGGAACACTCACTTGCTTTGTTCCTAAATGAATCATGCTGATTTCCCCTCCAATGAGTGTATGTTTCCCATTATTGGGCGTGGTTCAGCGCAGACAGTGGACACGGGGCGTCTCAGCGTTTGAAAGCAGAGAATACTGCTCATTTTTTAAATATTTCTATAACTTATTTTATTTACTTGCCATTTTGAAGTGCGTTCCATTTCATGAAGTGAACGAGGGAAGTTTATGTGGACAGACACTTGTTCCCTCGATTTAGACCGAGGGAGCGAGTCTACTTCATATATATACACTTCAGGCATCTCTGTGTCCCACAATGGAGTACGGTTGTGACTTAACCACAGATTGTCTAATCACCACCACAACAAACACTCTATGATATATTAATTATAATTTATTTATTTATTTTAAAATAACCCAAACACACCTACAGTATACATGTGGATGCTGCATTAAACAAAAAGTAAAAAAAAAAAAAAGTAAATAATAAATCAACTCATAGCTGATTCAAAGTGATGAAGGGCTTAGGACACTCCAGTTCAGCTAATTGCGGTTTCCACCAGTAGTGGGCACTCGTGCAACGTAAGCAATGATGTACATCCGAGTGAACAAGACGGAGGGAAGTTAGCGAGTGAAGGGCATGACAATTTTGGACTGGAATGCAGCCATGGTTTTGTTTACACTGATTTCATTTGTTTAGCTATTTATTTTTATTAAGTATTCAGAGGAAAATCTAGTCCGTTTTCATTTACATCTATGCATTTATCTAGATTTGAATTATGAATTGACAATCAGAACAAATTTGATCCCCTCCACATTATTTTGTTGTATGAATATCTGAACATGCAATATGTCAAAAGAAAAAAACAGACCCTCTGCTTCTAAAAAAAAAAGTTTAATTCTAGCTTTTTTTATCGACACCTGAATGTGGGTAAGTTTCATTAAAAAAAGCAACATTTTGAGCAAAAAGCTGATAAAACAAATACTAAATCCAGATTGGATTCAGAACAAGGATCAAAAAGTATAGTAGATCAAGTCCATCAGCACCCCTAATGCTTGCAAAGTCCTAGCCTGGGTCCTGGGTCGACATTTCATTCAGTAACATTTTTTTGTTTTGATTTATATGCTATTTAATGTTGCTGATAGTGTTTTAAAAATATGCATATGATTACATATATATCGCTTGTGTCTTCATCTTCTTCGCACGTGTTTTGATCAGGAGATTCTTTACACTTTTCTTACACTTAACACAGGAGATATTTGTGACGGGATTTTTGATGTTTGTGGTGTGACAAATTAAGATTTTGTTAAGACAAGTAATAATGTGAATCTAATTCAGAGTCAGAACTAGTAACTGGCTTAATAATCCCACAACCCTACATTTGATACAGGTGATTGGTTATAGTTACATGGGTTGGTGTACAAAATAATGCACATACTGCAACAAAGACATGGCATGTTGTGAAATGACATAATAAACATACATATATATATATATATATATATATATATATATATATATATATATATATAAATGTTGACCTTTCATCTGATACTAACCTCCAAATGTCTTGAGGATTCCATAATGGAATCGGGAACCTTTCTGGTAAAAAAATAAAAAAAATAAAACATATTATATTGCACATCACCTGAATTGAGAGTATAGTGTTTGTTAATATAAAAAAAAATAACGTTTACTCAAATACAGACAATGATATTTGAAACACTTTCCCCGTTTACTTTCAATGGACCCGAATAAATTAAACAAATGAGAAAGATGTCAGTACACTCCGTTTTTCAAGTTCAAATCCACCAACGTTAATCTACTAACTCTCCTGACTGGAGTTAGTAGACAAAACTAACTTTTTTTAGTTTAAAAAAAACTAACTGCTTTGTCAGACAAAAATGGTGGATTATGATTGGTCAGATATCAAACTCCCTGCGAAGGGTCAATTGTGGTTATATCTACTGCCAGAGCAAATAAGGACTCAAGTCTGGTGTATAATCAAAGTTCATATTCATGGCAGGGATAGGCATGTGTACTGCTGTACTTATGTGTAACGTCATTGTCATTGTTCGCCACAACAGCATTTTGTTCTTAACTTCCTATCAACCAATTTACGTGTACACTCTTAAATAAGAATTCCTCTCCAATCATGGCAACAGGGCATATTCACATCCTGTAAAAATTATTATAATTACAAGATGACAACTGAAGAAAGCTCTCAGAAAATTCTTGTAACTGCAGTAATTCTGACATGACGTGAACACACCATTTAGCCATTGTTAAAAGGAAGTTGGTTAGAGATAAGAAGTTCTCTTGTGAAAAATTAAATGCAAACCTTGCCATGGTTTAAACAAATGAGACTCTTTAACTAGAGGTATACAAAGTACACAACTCCATTACTTGAGTGAAAATATAAATGCGGGTCATATAAATTGCCAATGCAATTTATATATAAAAAGCCAAATGCAAACAAACTTCTAAGAATCAAAAACTAAAATATGCTAATTATTGTACACTTACGGTACATGTAATGTTATTTTACAATGTAGTAGAATCAATATACAATGTAATCTAACAAATGGTTAATTTACAGTGCCATTTTCTTACCCTTTCCTCTGCTGTAAAATGTATGTAATTCACTTTGTAATCTTTGATCAGTGGTCCGCTTTGGATAAAATTAATAGTAAATACAAATGAAAGCTGAAAGAGTAATAGCTGTTACCCCATGTAAAGTGAACATGGTGGAAGAGTAAACTACGATCTCTGTTTCCTCCTTCTTCTTCTTCTTTTTATGGGTGGAGTCGGTGTGTGTGAAAAAGAGAATTGTTCTCAGAAAGTTGCCAGATGTTTTTCAATATCACACATTTTTCAGCACTATTGGGTGTGGTTTGCAAGTCTGTCTGTTCATCTTGCTTGTCTTGTTGTGTTTGTTTTCTATCACCTGTTGCTAGGCAATCCTTCTCAGCCAATGAGCTAATCAGCTCTGCGTACCTGAAGCTCGTCAGTACTGCCTTTATATGTGGTGTGTTTGCTCTTGTCAGATCATTTGGTGTTCATGTCTGCTGTTTTTCCCTGTCCAGTTTTTCATTTTTCTGTGCCATTGGTTTCCTTGCTGCCAAGGCCTGTCATTCACCATCTTCTACTCATGATTGATTCTGACCATTTTGACTATTCTCTGTTCATAAATAAATGGACTTTTCTGCCTTTGCGACTTGATCCTGAGTTATTCCCTGACACCAATGTTGTTATTTTAACTAGTATAAATGGTTAACTAAGAGTAATGTTTCTGCAAAGAAATTAAGTGAATCAAGTTCACGTACTGGATGTGTGTATGTGCATTTATCTGAACAGTTAGACCTTACTTCGTATTTGCGTGTAACTGAAAAAATCCAACATTTTGCCTGTAGATAAGAATATAGCCAAACAGCAATTGAGTTCTGCAGGTTGAAAAAAAAAACCTAAGAAAAATAATGAGATTAAGTTTGTGTGTGTGTATATATATATATATATTATATATATATATATATATATATATATATATATATATATATATATATAACATCACTATTGTCATTGGTGAAGCGAAAATCAATCTAATATCTGGTCATTTTGTGTCTGTAATATCTGCTTTTATTTATTTTTTTATGTTTGCCATTTCCTTCCATGACTAACTGTTATGTTACCACCATATTGTCATGTGTAGAATCTTGGTTGTATAATGCAACTCTTTTTAGGAAAGTTAGTGAAAAGAAGTCATCTTGTGAAAAAAATAAATAAACAAAACCAGTACATGCAAAAATTCCATTACATCTCGGGTTATAACAGTAACTCTTGTTCCCTTAGAACAGTGAACGAGACACTGCGTCCTGAGACACTTTGGGGGAACGCCTCGACATGACTGATGACTGAAGTACTGTATAATCACAGCAATCCTATTGGCTGTCGACAGCCATGACGTCACTACTAGTGCAAGCAGGAAGTATAAAAGTGGCGTCTAGAGAACATGTCATTCTCTTTTAGTCTTCAGGGACTGTGCAGGCAGCCCGAACACATGGCGACAAGATGCCGTGTCTCGTTCCCTGTTCTCAGGGAACAAGGGTTACAGTCGTAACCCGAGAAGTTTCCCTTTGAAAGGGAACTCGCACTGCATCCTAATACTCTTTGGGCAACGAAATACCGACGCTTGCCATGCTGAGGGGACGTTTGCCAATCATGGCTGTGACAAGTACAAAACACATTTAACTCACATTTAAAAATGCATCAGCCTGTCAGTAGCATTACCCCCTACGGCCACTGCCAGATATACATTGTCCAAGGACATTAGAAGTCTGCCAAAATTGTGTCTGATGTGTTTAGTTATTAGAATAGAAAGCTTACAAAATGTTTAACATAATCTGCCAGGTGTGTAAGGCTGGGGGAGGCTTAGCCTCGCCCTTCACAGCAAAACCCCCGGTGTTAAATTAAGGCTATGTTTACACGGAAACGATTCTGAAGAGAAAACGCAAAAGTGGTGTTGCGATATCACTTTTCATTCTGCGTTTAGACGAGCGTTTTGGGTGTAAAATTCCGTGTGCAGATGGTGACGCAAAAGTCCGTGAATTCAATGTAGTATGCACTCCAGGCGGCTAGGAGTGCATACTACAACAACACCAAGCCCGCGCACCTGCGTACAACCTTCACTGTCAAGCAGACCTTTGCGTTTTTACCCTTTAAGGCCCGTACACACCGGGTCGAATATCAGCACGCGTTATTCATCAGCGTTTTTCAACGCGTTTTTTGTGTTCACACCTAAGCGATTTTCGCTGACGATGAGCCAAATGAACATAAAATTCATTCCCTGACATTAGATGGCGCCAATTTGCTCTGCAATACAACTCCATAACAGTTTTCTTTTATCAAGATGTTTGTAGTCGCTGTCGCGTTTGTCATATAGTTCTTTATGTTCTAGCACCAACGAGACCAGCAGCTCATTCATCTTGCCTTGCATCTTCCTCATCTTATTTCTCCCTGGCTGTGTAGACGGCGATGCGTAAATCTTCTTCACCGTTCCATATGTGTGCTCGGGAAGACCGTTTTGTGTTTGAGCGCCCCCAAGTTGTGTTTTACTGTAACTTCAGAAGCTCCAAACACTTGAGCAAAAGCGCCAATCTCATTGGTCGGATAGTTTTTGACGCGGTGCGTCAAACTAAAAAAACAAAGCCGAGGCGTTTTTTTAAAAATGACGCTTTTACGCGTGGCCTTTTACTTTGTTTAGTCACGAGGCGTTAAACGTCGGCAAATAATACGCGCGAAATTCGTCCCAGTGTGAACAGGCCTTTACACGGGAACGTGGCGGTGGAGCGTTTAAAATATTTCCACTCTGGAGGGTGGTTTCACAAAAAAGCGTTTTTAAGCCCCAAAAACGCCGTCGCCGTGTAAACGAAAGGCACATCCGATAAAATATTTTTACGTTTTCACCTGCAAGCGTTCTCGTGTAAACAGGGCCTAACACTCCTCAGTGTATATGTGTCCAACTACAGGGGCAACTACACTGAAGCAGTGTTGTAGTTAATGAGATAATTAAGTGATTAGATACCTGATGTTAATAAGCAGAATCATTGAAGGAAGGAGAAACTCAAAAACTACGGTCCCACTTTATATTAAGTGGCTTTAAGTACTATGTACTTACATTGAACAATAAGTACAATGTATTATTGTGTTCCTGTTGTATTGTAAAACACTTTTGCTGCTATTGAGATGTGATACGGGTAAGGTTAGGGACAGGTGTGGTGGTATGGGTCGGTTTAAGGGTAGGTTAAGGTGTGAGGGGAGGGTCAACTGTGTAATTACAGATTTACATAAAGTAATTATGGCTGTAATTACATGCTGGAATTTTAAAATATAAGTACAATGTAAAAACATTTAAGTACACAATAAGTCCATTGTAACAAACTATTAATTTCAATGTAAGTACATAGTACTAAAAGCCACTTAATATAAAGTGGGACCAAAACTACTGACTTAGAGCCATTACACATTACTGCTTTAGTTGGGCTCTAGACCCTTAACTTCTTAATATTAGTTTTTCCCTGGCTGCTCCAACTCTGTGTTAATAATGCACATTTGTTATGGAAAGAGAAACTAGGCTGCTTTTCCCGAAAGCATTGTAAGCCTAATTTGATTGCACAGACCATTTGTTGCAATAGTTCTATGATCAATTTAGGTTTAAAATGTTAATGGGAAATGCACCCCATGTCATGGTGGTTATGTGTCGATGATGATATTACAGACTGTAGTGTCCTGTTTCAATGAATGATGATTATACAGATGCTTTATTAATTTTTCTTTACAGTAGCTAATTCCAGCAGTGCTTTAATAATCTGAAGGTTTTAAAATCATACACCAACATGATCAAAAATGAAATCATGGCTGATAAAATGTGTAACTTTAATTTTAGTCGTGTGCAAACTGCAGAAGTGATGGTCCTGTTAAAGTCTCTTCCAACACATGGTTGTCCAAGCATAAACAACGTGGACAGCCTAGTGTTGAATAAAACAGCGGAATATATTGCTGCTCCGTTGTGTTACATATTTAATCATAGCGAGTGGGATTATCCATCTTTGTGGAAGGAGGGGAAAAGACAATCGATTATCTTATAATGTGCATAACTGTAGACGTTTATAGCAATTACCTTTTAAATGCATAATTATTTTCAAATTACAAACACATGAGGAGAGTCTCCACCTGAAAGACCCACGATTGACAGATCAACATGCTACTAGGCTACGTTTCTCTCCGAAATGCAAGGAAATCAAATTTGATTGAATGGAAGATTTTAACTGTGACAAGATGATTGACGGGGCAGTTTACGGTGACAGGATGCACGCAACAGATCTGTCCGTTAAAGATGACGTGATAGTATGTCCCAAAGCTTGCCTACTCTTTTGCTACACACTCAAAAGTCTGTATTTTTTATTCAAAAAAAGAGTTTATACTTTTAGATCATAGTATAAGTAGGTGAATTGGGACGCAGCATAAGAGTCAAAATGATAAAATGTACAGAAAATAAAAGGAAAATAGAAGCATTTTATTGGCATCAGTCTTTTGGAACCCAGTATGTGTTTAAAAATACAACAAATTTTTGTATAAATATATTCAGACCACAAGAAACATATTAAATGTATAATTATTACAAAGAAAGAAAGAAAATAAAATGAACTATGCATGTTCAGAAAGAGCCTCAGAGTTTAAGTCAACATCTTTGAAATAAGCACAGGCACTTACACGAAACATCATGAATTTTCTTTACTCACTGTTACCCACATAACCACATAACCACACAAACATCTCTCTCTCTCTCTCTCTCTCTCTCTCTCTCTCTCTCTCTCTCTCTCTCTCTCTCTCTCTCTCTCGCTCTCTCTCTCTCACACACACACACACACACACATACAGACGTTTGTTTAACTATCTTAGTGAAGACATTGCATAGACTTTCATTGATTTATTATCAGATTAAAGATTTTTTTATCGTATGATATATAATTTATTTATTTTAAAACATGTTTCGTCTGAATTATATTCCTTTTTAAACTAGTGTGGAGCTGTAAAATGTCCCTCACTTATCGGTTGTCATAATATTTTAAGTGGCCGTTACAAGTTTAAACAAAAGGTTTTGTTTGTTTTAGTTTGTTTCAGCCATGGTGGGGACTTTCCATTGACTACTGACAGTCTTGACATTGACAGTCTAACAAAGAGATTTGGAAATTATTTTTGTGGTTGTGACCTATTTGTGGGTTG